CTAAGAATTGAACCTTGAGGAACCCCTGAAGTTACAGGATGTGAAGAAGAGTGCTATCCATTAAGGACAACTTTTTATCCATTAAGGACAACTTTTTTTTATCCATTAAGGACAATCTTTTATACTATGATTGGAAAGAAAGTAGTCAATAACCTTAAAAATGTTACCAGATACACCGTAAGAAGAAAGATTATAAAGAAGACCAGCCATGCCAAACTTTATCAAACGCTTTAGAAATGTCAAGAGCGATAGCCTTAACCTCTCCACCTCTAATGCACAACAAAACCTATTGGTTATTACTGTTACCAAATCAACTGTAGAACAAGGAGATTGAAGCCCATATTGAAAGTAAGTTATTAGATTCAAGATGAGAGATTAAGTGTTTGTTAAATAAAAGTTCTTAAACCTTGCTTATGATCGGAAGAAGACTAATGGGGCTGTAGTTAGACAAATCAGATCGCTCTTCATAATTTTTGAAACTAGGGATAACAGATGCCGCTTTCCAGCATGCCTAAAAACAAGACTCCGATTTGCACTTGTTAAATAGTTTTGAAAGTATTAATGACAGCTCTGGAGAGCACTTCTGCAAGACTTCAACAGGTCTGGACCACAAGACTTCAACATTGTCTGGACCACAAGCTGTAGAAAAGTCTACACAGGAAGTCACTTTTAAACCTTTTTACAATGGTTTCTAGCAGTAATAAGAAGACATGTGTTTTCTGGAGAATTGTTTTGCTGATAGATATGGAAGTAATGGTTTGTATTGGAAACTGCAGCAGCACAATGTGAGGACAACCATGGAGAAGAGTGAGGCTTGACTTGGAATTGTTGAGAGAGAATAAAAGATTCCATGCCAACCTGAATTCATGAAGTTATGTAAGCACATTTGTCAGCAGGAAAACAAAGGATTTCCAAGGCCATCACACCACAAGGGTCATCATGAAGAAAATTACGGAAAGAATCCCAGTCAGCTTTAAGGTAGTTGTAAGAGGTACATTGATAGGTGGATTCTGATAATAAAAAAGAATGAGATGATAGTTTTAGAGAGATCAAACCCTGATCAGAAGCATCTAAGGGCGAATGTGGAGAAATGGATAAAGAGAGAGGGCTTGGTCAATTTGATCAGAAATAACATCAAAAAGAGTGCAGTCTTGAGATGAAGGAGAGCAATATAGAATAAAGAGAAAAGCAACAGAGTAAAGTGGTGCTAAATGAAAGCACATAAAAGAATTGCCAGTGGATTCAAACCTAGTTTCACAACAAATGGGTGAATTCTTGTAAATGCCCAGGCCAAGCTTGTGACTATTGGAGTATTTATGAATTAAAGGAAGATAACCATCAACACTATGATCATAAGATGAGACTGCTGAACTCAAATTAGTTTTAGAAAGAACAAGTAGGTTTGGTGAATTTTGCAAGAGATAAGACTTAAAAGAAGAAAAGTTACTTTGAAGACCATGAATATAAGTAAATTATAGGTTTAGAGAACTTGGTGATGATGATGGTTTTTTGTGTTTCATAGTTTTTGGTACTTTAGTCATTTTAAATTTGTTAAAGATCTTGACTCAGAGCATAGATAGTACTTAGTACACTATTTAATAGTCCAAGTAATTGCCTCATCACTATTAATAAACCCTTAGCTTTAACAAAGGGCTCCAAGTGTAGCCTCGACAATGAACACCAAAAGTGCTACTATAGAGTTTGGGAAGCCTTACTACCGGCTGGCCTCAGAACCATAAAACTAAGTTTTAGAGCTGTACCCTCATTAGGAGATAAAAGAATGAGTTGCCTAGTCATAAAAATAGAGACTCAAGCAAAACCTATACATTGAGTCAAAAAGATCCTGCGTTTAACATCTTAAACTTGAAACAATGTATGAAAAAGACATCTGCGCCAGCCTAATAGATGAAGAAGTGCGAGGCTGGTCAACAGATAGAATCTGCTAACCTCTAAAAGTCTTTACCTAGGAGGCCTTCTACAAGACAGTAGCCAGATGCGTTTAACATCTGCCCAAGATGAATATTTTTATCGAGACACCATCTCTAGCCTTTATTTAACCAAGAGCCCCAAGACATGGGGTGTTGGCAAATTGGAGTTGGCTTCTCCTAACCTTTTCCTTAAAAAGTGTATCCTACAAAGCAGCAGGGCATAAAGCAGGACATAAAGCAGCACATAAAGTAGTACTGGTTTACATGTTACCAGTAGCAGAATAAGATTAAGGGATGTAGCTGATTCATATTACAGTTTGGTTCATTGAAAGTTTTTTTAACATTTGCTGCATTGTTTTTCTAGCAAACTTGTGTTTTTAAAGAAAAATTCTACACCCTTGCTGTTGGTTTGATCTTGTTGAAATTGTTTTTTGCAGTTTGCCTTTCATCAAGTTGAGAATAAGAGATGCAGAATTTGATACAGTTAAATTGTATCAAATTCTGCATCTCAATAAGAGATGCAGAATTTGATACAATTTAATTAGCATCAAAATTATTTTAAAATGAATTATATTCTAAATAAAATAATGCAGGTAAAAATGGCAAAACAAACAACTAATTTAAATTCTAAATAAAATAATTTTAAAAAAATGGGAAAGTTTTATTATAATTCTAAATACAATTAAAATGGCAAAACAATTTGTTTATTTTCTATAATAAAATAAAATAAAAACGGCACATCAAAAATTAATTTATATTTTAAATAAAATAATTAGGATAAAAACGGCAAAACAAACATATTTATATTCTAAATAAAATATGTATAAAAAAAAAAACGGCAAAGTTTTATTTTGGTTTAAAATAAAATAATTAAAATAAAAACAGCAAAACAAACGATTTATTTAAATTCTAAAATAGTTGAAATAAAAACGACATTGGATTTATTTCAATTCTAATTAAAATAACTAAAATAAAAACAGCAAAAGATTGTTTTTTTAAATTCTAAATAAAATTTAAACAAACATTTGCTTAAATTCTGAATAAAATAACTAAAATAAATATGGCAAAACTAATGTTAATTTAAATTCCAAACAAAATAATTAAAATATAAACGGTAATGTTTTATTTATACTCAAATTAAAACAATTAAAAAGAAATACGGCAAAACAGACGATATATATAAACTCTAAATAAAATAATTAGAATTAAAACAGCAATGTTTCATACATACTCAAAATAATACAAAAAGAAAAATGGCAAAACAAACGATTTACTTAAATTAAAGAGAGTAAATTAAATTATAATTAATTAAAAGTTATAAAATTATAACGGCAAAACAAAAATCAAGCGATGTAGGATCAAAAAAATGCATTGTAAATTTTAGTAAAATTTAATAAAAAACTGATTGTCTAAAAAATTATTTGATCGTCTGGTTTTTAATTTTTTTACTTCAGCCGATCAATGTTGATCGGCAACCTTCAAATAATTATTTCAAGCACTGATATATATATATATATATATATATATATATATATATATATATATATATATATATATATATATATATATATATATATATATATATATATATATATATATATATATATATATGTATACACACATTTAGATTGGCAATCTGACATCATACTGATTTAAGGAGCTTTAAGTGCTTCAGTACACATGTCAAATGATAGGATGAACATGCAAGGGAGTTGCTGCTACATTAACTGAGGGTTTGGGTTGAGGCATTGGGTTTGGGCACAAAAAAATAATGATTTCATTATTATTATTTTTTTTTGCAAAAAATTGTTATGGGTTTTATTAGACAAAAAAATTTTGTAAAAGTATATACAATCAGCAAAATTCAGGTCGGCATTCGGCATTGCTAACGCAAAAGCCGACCTATATTTGCTTTGAATATTCTAAAGTTTCGGCATGCAAATTGAAATACATGTAAAAAATATATAATATTCATTAAATAATATTTTATAATTTTTTGCAAACCCTTGTTTGCAATTTGTTGAATCTTCTGATCAAGAAAATTTGATTTCTAACATTAACTTAAGCAATATGCGGTAGTGGTGTAGTGGTAGAGCGCTCGCTTCATAAACGAGTGGTTCCGAGTTCGATTCCCACCACACCCCTGGTAGTACTGCGCTCAACTCGTTTCTCCGCGCAGCGGCCTTGTTCGTCAAGGTTCGTGTTTCAGAGTTATAGAGTTGAGAGAGGGTTATAGCCACAAATAAGTAGCCTCCTCGTCTGTAGTGGTCGCCTCGGCCTTGAGGAGGTGAATTAAAATTAAAAAAAAAAAAAAAAAAAAAATATTTCTGATGATGATTGGACAGAAAATTCTGATAATGAGTAAAGTATGAAAATACTTCAATAAGACAATAAGACGCCATTGCGCGGAAACAATCTTTATATAAAAGGAAAAAAAAAACTATTTTTAGTATTTTGAACTTTTGTTTTTCCTCCATTAATTTACATATAGTTACAAGTTCATACTGTACTACAATTAATTATTGAAAAACACCACCCCTACTACTGAAGAATTAAATACTTATTTCTCATAGAGGTTAAACAACCAGATAAAACTGTCTACTCATTTTGTTAAACAACTTGCCATTTTAAACAAAATCTTTGTCTACAGCACATAAACTAAATTTGTATTTCTAAACGACATTCTTTCTATGGGCAATCTAGAAAACCAAATAAAATGTAATAAATAAATGACAATTTTTTTTGTAAAAAAAAAACAATACCAAAACTAAAAAATCACTTATTCATAAATTTGCTATATACTTAATTTACTAACCAAAATTTAATTGCTGCATTCTTTAAAATATTATTGTCTGGAGCTATGCTATTATAAAGCAATCCTTTTATAATCAATTAATCATTACCTCTATCAAATAGATAGCCAAAAATCCAATTTTTTTTTGCTGACCTGATGTCAGCTAAGGTCGGCACGCTTGTGCCAACCTGAAATCCTTCGAATTTTGCTGACTGTATATATGTGTGTATATATATAAAGAATTTATGGAGTTATCAATTAATTATTTTATATTTTAGCCCTGGTTATGTCTAATACAAACCAAAATAACTTTAATACAGAAGAAATTAAAAAGGTAGTTAATGATGTTATGGTAGATGATTTTAAAAGAGGTTAGTTGTTGTATTTATACATTGTATAATTTATTTATGTCAGACATTTGTTTATGGTAATTAATGGAAGTATTTAAGATCAAATAACAAAAGTTTAAATAATTTAAAAAAATTTAGAAACTTAGAAAATTAAAATAATGGTAAATTACATGTTAACCTAAAAAGGTTAAAAGATTAAAAAGATAAAATAAAATGTTGACCTTTTAGTTGTTCTTTTATTTGTGATTAAAGACCATCATTATGATTAATATCTATTAATATCTATAATATTTATTAATATCTATAATCTATCATTATGAAAGTGTAATCAGCTAGATTTGAAAGAGAGTAATCATGATGGCGTACCAGAATATTTCTTTATTAACTATTTTAGATAAAGATTTTAACATAAAAACACTAATAGTAATCCATGGTAACACATATTGTTGTCCATGGTCACTTTTTATCACATAATATTTTTATGTTACCTATGACTCGTTTTATGATACTCAGATTTTTTTCAATAACACAAAATTTATTGCATTAAATTTGACACTTGTTCTTACATAATTTTGATACGCTGACTTCAAATCTAGCATCAGATTTATATAGAATGCTACAGATTTTTTGCAATGTTTTTTTATATTGCAAAACATTAGAAATAGTTCTAAAATACAGATTTAAAACTCATTTGAACATGCTAGGATATATTTTTTACAATAAAAGTTGTTTATAAAACTAAAACAAAAGCAGAAAACATGTGAAAATAAAATGGGAACTGTTTAAAATGAATATTTTATAAATATCCAAATCCTAGCAAAGTTATCAACTTTTTATTGATTAGTTACAAAATCATATTTTACTTTAGTTTTAAAAAAGATTGGAGATTATATTGTTTAATTAATAAATACAACTGTTTAATCAAGAAGAAACTTTTGCTTGTTACTCTTGTTTATAAACTTTTCCTGAGTCTTCTCGCTTGGTGCCCCAACAGTAGTCTGCCATCATGTGTATGTCTCAAGTCCTTGGTAACGATCTGTAATTGTCTCAAGATCTTGATGGAATCACTCTCCTTGCTCTTCACTCACATCTCCAACATTTTCAGAAACTGGTCAAGATTACTATTTATATAATGAAGTTTTATACTCATTATATACTCAAAACAAGTTTTATACTTGTTTTGCATCCAAGATCATAAAAAGCTTTCAACATTTTATCAATTAAATCTAAATAGTTTTCTGCTTTTTTATTTCCAAGAAAAATTTTTACAACAACCACAAATGACAACCAAGCCGTTCTCTCTTTAATATTCGTTGTTTTAATGAATTCTTTATCTTTCATAAGATAGCAAATATTTGGCCCATTAAAACTCCTGCCTTTTTTTTTCTCTATTGACAAATCTGGTAATGATGTACTATGTACTGAAAATAATCGCTATCAGTTTTCAGTGCTTTAACAAACTGTTTTATGAATCCAATTTTACAATAGAGTGGTGGAAAAAACTATTTTATTTTGACTAACAATGAGTTCATTCAAAATATTGTGCTCACTGTGAGAATCTTGAGAATGGGCCATTCTTTTTGTATTTCCAGTATTGATTTCTTGCTCAACTCTCCCATATACAGAGATATCATGGAAACTTTGTAAAACTTTTCTGCTGACCAAGTAGAAAGTTAACCATTTTTAGATCTACATAAATAATCCAGTTGTGTTCATGATATTTAATCAAGTTAAGCACCATTTTAATGTCATTGTAAGTTTCTCACAAATAAACAGAATGACCGATTGGTACAAAACAAAAAATATTTTGAGATTGTGCAATATGACACATTTGAGGCTTCACTTTGAGCTATTGATAAAATGTCTCCATTCTGTTTGTTATATACAGAAATACCCAACTGTAATAGAAGACTTGAAATCATGATAGTAAACAAATAAATTGACTTTTTAAAAATAGTTAACAAAGGTTTCTTCTCTTGTTTTTAAGTAAAAAAGTTTTGCAAAGCTATTGAGTAGGCTTTTTTCCGTTAAACACCAATACTTCATGAAGTTAAACGTGATGCCAATACTTCATATTAAACATGATGCTAATACTTCTGCTGCTTTCTTAAAAAGTCCTAAATCATGAAGTCATTTAGTTCTATCTGACTAAAATACTGAGGCAAATTGAATTGTTTAGCATTAGATGAGAAAACTTCCAAATCTGATAAAATTTTTCTTTTTCTGTAGGTAGCAGACATGCTTTGTTCATCTTCTGACAAAATTTACCTTTGAAAATTGGAAATAGAATCTCGTTAGAATGTCGAATTGGTCTAACAGCCGAAGAAATTATGGGATAAGCTATTTTTTGTCTCTTTATTTTGCCAATACCAGTAGTATCAGCAAGACAAAAATAGCAGTTGTCAATGTCATTTAGTGGTTTCCTCCAAACCATGGGGACTCCAAAAGTTAAATTATTTCTTTTTCCTTTTGTCCAATCTCGAAGACTTTTTCCACAAATATGGCAGTCCACTTTTTGTTTGCCAAGTTTAATATCAAAATTTTGTTTGCCAAGTTTAATATCACCACTTGTTTGCTAAGTTTAATATCAAATTACAATATATATGCTAGTTTTACAAAATTAGTAACATTTCGTCTTTGTTGAACAAGTGTATAGCAACCTCAGATATTACATGATTTAGGATTATGCTTGCACTTATGTCAATTTAAAGAAGCCATCATATTATATATTTGATCTAATAAAAACAATGACATGGTTACTTTTTTTTATAACTAATAAATAAAAATACCTATGAAAATCATAATTTTTAAAAATTTAATAAATTGGTTATTGCAAAAAAACTAAAGCTTGCCAATAAAAATGGATCTTATATTTTTTTAAAATAAGTAAAAATCTGTTTAAATATCTCATGTAACAGGAAAAAAAGTTTTTTTTTGTAGACCTGTGTAATAGCAGTAATATGGTCTTTTATAATAACAGACCTATTGATATATTTTTATAACAATGATAAGGCTCTATGTTTTCTAATATGATATTCTAAAATAAACAAAACTAATATAGGGAAACCAACAATGGCTATAAAATGTTTAATGTATTTAAATTTCTAGAAAAATATCAATTTAATGATCGATATCATTAAAATACATGGAAAATAAAACACTGTATTTTTAAAAGTACAACTTTTTTGCTTACAGAACCTAACTAAAAAAAAGTAACATTGAGAGTGATCATCAAAAAACTGAATCCATTCCTCATACAAAAAATTAGTTTTATCTATATATTTTAATAGAGTGTTTATAAATTTAGGTATGTTGAGAAACATCAATTATGACTCAGTATTTTTGCTTTAGGCTCTTTTTCACTGTTATGAGTAGTAATTAGTACATAATTCTTCAGCAAGAATATATTAGGAATATATTTTTGCATTGTTTTTTTAATATTAAATTTATACTTGGTTGCTATGAACTGAAACTGAATTACATAATATGTCATGTAGCCAAGTAGCACCTAGGAAAAATAAAAAGCAAAATGTTATTAATTGGACAAGAGTATTGGTAAGATTATCAAGTTCACCTCTGTGATTATATTTTATTATATTATCATATATCTCTGGCTATTCAGATCTCTATATTCAGATTATCTCCATATATGTTATAATAATGGGTTGTATCATCATGGGCAGTATGTTTTTGTTTGTTTTTTTCAATTACGGATTTATAGTATTTAAAGTATGTCCAGATCCCTATTGAAGCTTAGAAAAAGCTTTTTCAAGTGAATTTGTTGAAAACTAACCAAATGTACTTGGTTCAGTTACTCAATATTGTTTCCATCAATAAAAATTACAATATGTATGTGCAATTGCAGTACTGCTATCATGTGTAAGCTGTTTTATTAGCTTATATTTCATAAAATTTGACAGTTTAACAGTATTTGTCAGTTCAACAGTATCTGTTGTAATTGATTACAGTTCTCAACTGTTGTTGTTAACCATGATTTACTTTTAAATGTTCTAAAAGGTTCCAATATGCGTTAGAGTATCAAAAGTTAGGATAAAACAGAAAACAAACTTGTATAAATATTTTTGTTATGAAAAAAAAAACTTTCAGTTAAAGAATCTAATAAACTTTTAACTATATAATATTTTTCGATAAATTTGGCAGGTGCAAAGAAAATGTATATAATAAGGAGTCTTATAGCAGCAAAACCATGAGCAAAAGTAAAAAAGTTTTAGTAATAAAGTTTAGCAACCATGCATAAAAAGTACACACAAAAAAAAAGCTTTACATTTCTTTTTTCCAAAAATAATCTAAGTGTATATATGTTTCTAAAACAACTAAGATCTCAAAAAATGTCTCCCTAATGCTACCTCAAAAAATGTCTCCCTAATGCTACCTCAAAAAATGTCTCCCTAATGCTACCTCAAAAAATGTCTCCCTAATGCTACCTCAAAAAATGTCTCCCTAATGCTACCTCAAAAAAAAGTTTAAAATGTTGGACAGAATTTTAGTACAAAAATTGGTTCCGTAAATTGTAATAAAATATTTTGTTTTTACAACTTGACCACGCAATTTGTTTTGACAACTCTAGACGTTTCAAAATGCGCTGAAAATAAAAGGAAAATTTGTAAGATAAATTACCTAACAAAAAAAAATCTTGAAGAAAAAGAAAAAATCTAAGCTCAAAAAACTAAAATTTGAAAAGGAAAATATATTTATATTATGTTTTTTTTAAATTACTATATTATGCGAAATGCTTTGTAAATTATTAAATACACAAATTATTACATTATATAAAATATATAAATTATTTAATTATTAAACACATAATTAAATATATAATAAAAATGTATAATAAAAATACCAAATACATAAGTTATTAAGTTTACTGATTACTTTATTAAATGAAGTAATAAATTAATATATATTACATAATATAAATAACTCTTACTTATAAATTTTTATAAAATAAATTTTAAAGGGATTTTTAAATTTATGGTATTTAAAGTTTTATATATATATAT